CGAAAAATAACAAACCATTGGTTTCAGTCAAAAGGAGTTGGAGAAGAAGAATGACCAGGAGCATCGCAAGACGATGACAAAGCGGGTTTTGGACAAACATAACAATATGAACGTCACTGTCCCTCCCAAATCCAAGAACGACAATGGACGCCCAAGGAATAAGCCCGAGACCAAACCGAAATGAACCGAACAAACATTTCCCAGGGCTATTTCACATCAATTGACTGAGCTCAATGGACAAATGCTCAATTCTACGAAGGATCCATCAGCGAAATCGAACATTCCATCATTCTGGGATGGTCACGTGAGGAAGCCGAACCTATTCAATAACTTTTTTTGGTGGATTCACGGGATTCTGTGGAGAAACTTCACGTAGAGTGGTTGCAAAGCAGAAAATCTGAGTAGAGTATATTTGATAAACCAACTAGACCCATGAACCAACTAGAATAACGTTACTGTTATGGTAGGAAATTAAGAATGGTTGAATAAGTCTCTGTCCAAGATTACTGGACCTTCATTTCCCCCGATTTCCAGTCAGTAACAGGAGTAGCTATTGTTGTTTGTTGCTTTGTGTCCCAAAGTGTTTCGTGTGATGCTGCAATCTTAGCATCTTCGTAAGACTTCCCCTTTTGATGTGATTAGATTAAGACAGTGCTGACATGCAGGTCGTAAATATGGGGTGCAAGCAGAACAAAGAGTGACAATACGCTTGTGCACATGATAAGAACGGTCTTTAGGCCTATGAGTCGAAACTAAGCGATTTTCAGCTCCTAGTGTACGACCAGAGGCCTGTCAGGCCAGTGAGTCACTATACTGATAAAAAAAATGTTAGACCCTTTCCTGAAATTGGGTTGATTGTAGTTCAGTATGAATTACATGTAAAAATTTGCTGTAGCGATCTTATCCTTCCAGAGGCAAACAGAGAAACTGTAACTTATGCTAGACAGGGGTGTGGCCAGAATTTAATTCGCGTAGAGCATGTGTGAACCTATCGAATTGGACTATTCGCACGGCATGAAAACTTCCCGTTTCACACGCACCATCGCTTAATCAAAACAGCAACACACTGCTCAAGCTGTTCATGGAATTGTTTGAATTCGTCCCCTTTCCACTTCTCTTGAGGCCGGGCCATCAAGAAAGCCAATCGAGGGGGAATGATCTGGATAACTTTCCCCACTGCTATCGCGGAATGCTTGAAGAAACGAAACTAGACCCTTTTGGTCCTGATTTCACTAATCCTGGAAGGCCCTAAAACCAGTGCGATAAGACTACACACGGAAACGAAGCACATAAAGCGTCCTGCAGTCACTGGGAACCTCGCGACCTATCAACTGACGACAAAAAAAAGATGACTTAATCTCCATCATACGCCCGGTATCACAGTGTTCTGTGAAGGCAACAGTACGGGAATTGAATCTCGGATTGATAGCCGCCCAGGACAACCAAACATTTTATCCTAACATGGCGGATAGATTGACATCCCATTTGTCTTGGAGGATTAAAATACCGTCTTAGTTATTGGCCGCACCCCACCCCCCTTTAAGCCATTTTGTTAACCACATACGCATTCAAAAATGCCACGCCAATGCCAAAATGCCAAAAATGCCAATTCTGAATGGAATCCAGTACGGGGCGCGTTCCACAACCAGCACTGATCAACGGTGAAACTTTTCAACCAAGGTTTTTGCCCTAACGCTTCAGCTTCGTATTTCGAGTCTATAGCGAGCTCACAAGTCAGGAGTGAATTCAAAACGGTGTTCGAAGGCTCAAATTGAAATTTCTATATTACACTTTGCGAGAGGGATCAACCTTAGTGGGGAATAACCCTACAAAGGCTCTCTCACTTCTTGGAGCACCCTCAAAAGGCTTATATTACAAAATGGAATGTCATGATCGGTATCTCTGGTTGCCATATTACTGTGAACACTTTTTCCCTGTACTATTATTCCTAATTATTCGCTTTTTGAAGAAATTTCAATTTATCGTGAGAGGTATCACTCAATTCTGACTCTATTGCTTCCCTTACGAATGTATTCAGTATTCTTTTCAGGTTTGCAATGAAACTAGGCTTGGTCGGGGTGATAGCGTCGTGAAGCGCTCTTATCAAACAGCAATAATATGGTAATTTCGAATCATATATGAGTCCAGATAGATAGTAATCGAGTTATACAATCGAAACAAGCATGTATCAAATCAAACAAAGGATGCTTTACGTTCACTACAAAATTTCAATAGTGAATTTCATGAAGTTTCAGTAATCAGGTAGGTAAAAAGTCATAGATTGGTAAGCAAATAGTTTCCAATACGGAGTAGATGGAGTAAATATTTCAAGGCTGAGCATTTCCAATGTAGAGCTTCTCAGACTTCTTGAGTTAGTCCATGGATATCAAATTCATAAAAAAAAANAAAAAAAAAGGGAAACCACACACCTTCCTTAGACCAGCTGGCAACTAAGGGCATTAAAGGAGTGGAAACTTTGAATCCATCACACGTAAATCAATATTAGAAGCCGGAATTTGTGAACGCCGAACACCCCTTATTGGCAAATCCGATAGTAACGCAGGTTCCCATGGTCCATTGAGCTTTCCATCAAAAATGTCCATGCATGGTCGTCCTTCAAAACTGTAGAAAACCAAACCTAATATCACAGTAGTGACAAGCTATGAGCGCACTAGAAATGTATTCAGATTGCCGCATGAAAGGAGAAGACTAAAAAGGCTATACATGCAATTTTTACGCTCTCCAATACAGCCCTCTAGAACATTTTCTCAAAAATAGCAAAAGTTTGTGGCCCTTTTTTCAAAAATAGCAAACGTTTTTGGCCCCGCACTTAAGTGCTCGGAGTTTTGAAGTAACCACATCGATCCCGTAAAATGCTGTGGTATAATGAAGATTGGGAAAAGTCCCACTACTGACAAGGTATCCGAATCGCTTTATGAAGAACTCTAAGAAGTCCCTATCAACAACAACGGTCTCAGACAAGATTTCAATGTTGGATGCATTTATTTCACCATATCACATAATGGCGGTGGTGGTGTGTTGGTAAGTGGCGCGCTAACACACATGCATGGTAACGGGTTCGAATCTTGGAACATATCCGCCTAGGCCAACCAAGTCTACGACCACTTTGGGCAGGATAATTGGGCCAAAGCCAGTCATTGTATAGGCCACGTACGCATTCAATACGGTACCGCGATTGTGATTGGAAGTCGAATGCGGTGGCGCATCTCTCAGATAATCTACACCCAGAGAATTTTGTCCCTTTATTACTTACATATTGAAGAAATAAAAGAAATGTAAAAGAAAGCCAAACGAAAGATGAAGCCTCCAAGTGCAAATCGAAAACCTTTAACTTGTCTTCAGTGGTAATCGAGGCTACAAATCTTCAGCAAACCCCGATGGGTAAGCAAGTATGCCTAATGAAAGGCTACAGAACAACTTTCTCAAATGCACCATGCACACAACATGTTCTTCTCGGCTACTTGGCATACCGAAATCTGAATGCATTCAGCAACTCCAGCTATTTGCTGCTGATATAGGCTAACTGGCATATCCTACATAGAATTTCCGGTGAGTCATGGGAGTTTGTTACAGCATTGGGAGCTGGAGGAAACATAGAGTATCGGTAGTGTCATATTATAAACAGATTTAACATTATAGTCAGAAACGAAGGTTCCGGTTCAACTCTCCGTAAAAGCTGATATTCACGACCACGACTATTGAAGGGGCATATGGTTTATAAATCGCCATGTGCTGTCAAAATCTTCGGTACCTACCAAGAGCTCATTGCTGAAGGCGTAAGCCTCAATGAGTCACACCATAAGGGGTACTGTAAAGCTTTATGGGCCGTTACTCTCATGCATAAAAGTTATCAGAAAAAGGCACCGGCTGGAATTCATTGACGAAATATTAGTCATTTATAAAGAATTTTCGTCTGATCGTGGCATAAATTGATGACGACGCAGTCACTCAGGCGGCGTTTACTTTTCCTTATCTGCCACCTATTATCGAGAGAAAAAATTGTGTTTCCCTCGATTCATCACTCTCGAAAGACTGAGGTAGGCAGATGAACTTTTTAAGAGGCTCAAAAAAACTTAAATACCTTATAAGCAGATCTTCATGTGTCAAATGACAGATTCGTGGGGAACTCCGGAACCTAAAATTTTCATAGCCCATAAGATTTAGGATTGCCCTACGAGTGCTCAACAGTCACTTCCTAACACTCTTCCTTATAGGCCGCTAATGGGCCCACACGTTTCACTTCCAGGCTTTGCATACCAACTACATTTGTAGACCGAAAAAATGGCTGTAGGGTAGAAGAGCGCAGGTAATAGTTTATTGAACTGTTCTAACTCAATCACCCTGACACCTCCGTTTCACAATACCCGGTAGAAATTCGGTGAAATCTCGATCTAGGACCGAGACTCTTCACAGATGCCTTCAGCGTTTACAAACACCAAAAGTGTCTTTCAGCTCTGAGCAGAAGCGCTGGCATACGTCAGGAGTGCAGCGGGTCCACGGCGATCCGGTTCAGATAACGGCTCGGTGCGTAACCAAAACGTGGCAACTTTTACAGCCTTCGAAAAGCATAAATTTAGTACGACAGCCTATGTACGGCTTCATCATTCGCTCGGCTGCCATTGTACTGTCTCCTATGCTCATAATCGGCCGTTATTGTGGATTACTGTAGAGCTCTTTTTGACTGCCACACTTATTGAAACAAAAATATTCACAAATTTACCGAATATTATTCACTTGCAGGCTAGGCTGTACACTAGTTATCGTAGATCATGCATAAGAGACATATTCGAGATAGACATGAAACATGTTCGTCAGATGCCCTTTTGGACTATTCCCATGTACCCCTCCAATGCCAAGTCGTTACTTCAACGTTTTCTTGCCTCATACCTTCACTAAGACCTCATGAAAAATAGTAAATACAGTTTTGGCGTTCTGCTTCTCACTTATGAAAGGAAGGTTTCTGGACCAACTCACGTACTCGTGCATTCAACTTCCACCCACAATCGAATGTGCTTCCGAAATGTATAGTCTGAAGAAATGGAAGGCCTCGGTGAGGATCCAGACTGGCATTGAGCATGAACTTTGGCTCGGAACTGTACATTTAGAAGCGGAAACACTTGGGTAACCTACTACCTGGTGCATCCTATACATCTGATACATCTGATAGAATTCTGCATCACTGGGAGATTTTCAGATGCAATACTATAGTTCTTTGTCGAAAAATTCGTACTGGGAATCTCGTCCAGAGACAATAAATGCCTGAATGAACTTTCTTCCCCCCCCCCCCCCCCCTCCCCTTAATGCAATGATAATATAATTAATTTTCACTATGATTAGGGTTATACGGTGGGATATGCATTCAATGAGGGCCTAATAAATAAAATAAACAAATAAGTAATTAATAGATATATAAATAAATAAATAATGACGAAGAGTGGATCATTTGAGATTAGGTTACGTTGCGCTAAGCTCGAAGTACTTATGTCATGTTTAATATAAATAATTATCAGCAAACTATTCTCAAAATGGACAGCAGGCAACAACAAATAAATAGAAAATAATATCACAACTGTGGCGATAACAACACAATATGTAGTGGTATTAAATAGACATTTTGTGGTTCCAAGACGTCACCAAACCACCATAACCCTTAGGCTGTTTACGAAAGCCCTCGTAGAAGAAGAAGCTGCTTGAGAGTTCTTTATCTCTTCACAACTATTGATACCGCTCTAAGATACTCAACTATACCTACTTGCAAATAACCATTTCGATTCTTCGCCCTCAGAGGACTTCTATTTGATCGCACGGATTCAGAGTATTACTATCAGCGTCTTGGAGGCCCATTTCATTGTCGCCGCATTTGTTATCAGGGCCATAAAACTTGTAACAACTTTCCTCAGGACGATCGTCGCTACATTTCTTATCATTTCGCTTCACGGTGTTGCGTCACGTACATCGTCACACCTTCTGGTATACTGTAACGGTGTGTTTCAGATGCGCTTGGGTTTATACCTGGCCTTTGTGGCCGCATGCTTTGCGTTGGACCGAGATGTCGGCTATTTAATGACGAGGTTACCGGAAAATGTAAGTTCTCGACTCTTCAGCTCTCAGAGTAGGTCGAAAGTATAAACGCAAATTTCAGGCTGCCGTCGGTTCGCTCAGATGTTTCGTTGGTATTGTTGCTGATTATAATAACACCTCTATTGGTACTGAGGTAGGTTCTAGCGTCGAGGCTGACTCAGGCCGTCCCCTCAGGTTCCAGGACGTACTTCTTACTCTGTAATTAAGGTATTTTGTAATGGACTCTGTGGTTCGATCTCAACATCCGTCGGCGGCTCCAAGTTCACCACGTACAACTGCTTCCCGCAATCATTTTGCGAGTAAGGAATTCACTTAGTCAGGTTCGGTCCCCCATTAGCTGATCGTCCCCATTACAGTACTGCTGGTTTGAACTCAACTTGTACTACCATATACCTCGACCGAGATCTCACCGGATGCTGTTGTAACACC